ATAATACTATTTCTTAATATATAATTTATAATATTTAAAGAGAGGGTTATAATAATAATAGTAGAGAAGTATATTATAGTATAAGTAGGATTAGTTTAGAAATATTTCTGAAATATTTTATATCTAGTTTAATATATATAAAAGATACTATAGATAATATATAAATATTTTTATAAAGGGTAATTATATACTAATTTAAGTGAAATATATAGCTTTATCCTATAAGTAATAAAATAAAATATAAAATAAATCTATTCTAAGGGTTATATATAATATATCTACTAACTATAATTTAGTTTATTACTAGTATTTAGTAGTAGGTAATTATATACTTAAATAGTATTATAGTTTAAAACTAAAGGAAATACTACTTTATATTAGTTCTTTTTAAATAGTAACTATATTAAGATATTATAATATTAATATTCTATAAAATTAAACTTCTAGAGGAAGTAATTATAAACTAGGAATGCTTTATATTTATAAGTAATTTATGAAGATAACTAATATATGATTAGACCTATTAGGGTCTAATTACCTAAATATAGTAAGTTAAATACTCTATCTATTATAGGTTCTTTATCTTATAAAANAGATCTAAAAACCACGCTATATATTATAATTATATTATATAGTACTTATATATACCCTCCCCTACTTATAATAAAAATACCTCTCTTAATTATAAAAGGTTTAATATATATTATCTTATATATTAATAAGCCTAATATAATATTAAGTATAAGCTTTATTTCTTTACTTAGTTTAAATATATTAATATTTATAAACTTATTTTTAAACTTAAATAAGTTAAAAGAGTATATTATAGAGTTCTATAGGTAATTTATAATAGATATTTATAAAAGCTTTATAAATCCTAACTACTTTTAATATATTATTTAAAAATAGTAAATCTTAATATTTCTTTAAGGTACCTATATAATTATACTTACTTTATAGTAAATAAAAAAATAAAATAAGTAATTCTATATATAAACTTCCTTCCTTCTTTATATTATTATAACTTTAATAGCTTACTATTATTAATATATTTAATATTTATTCTAATTATATTCTAACTATATCGTTATTTATTTCTTCTATAAATAAGCTATATAGTAGATATTTAATAATATAAAGTTATTTATAGTTAATATAAACTATAAATATATTTATAGTTTAAGGTATTATGAGATTATCTAAGCTTAGTATAGCTATATATTAGAGAAAAGTAGAGGTCTATAGCTGAAATATTTCTAAATTATTTCTAACCTAATAAAGTACTCCTTTTAGTATATTACTATATAAATATTAAGATAGTAGAAATATATTAATATATATTTCAAGCTATTTTTAATATTCTATATTATAAGTATATAATTAATATTAAGTAGAAGTTTATTTATAGATTAAATATACTTAAGGTTACTCTTAATTAAAAATAGAGTGTTATTAAAAGCTTTAGCTAATACTTTAAGAAAAGGTATTAATACCTAAAGTCCTAAGAATTTTAAGCTAAAAGCTATATTTACCTCTATTATATATATTTTTAATATAGTATTAAGAAGCTTTTAGGTAATACTTATCCCTATAAACTAAGGACTTTATATAATATTATAACTAGTCTTTTAAACTATTAATCCTAAAGGGACTATAATAAACTTTATAATATAATTAGGGGTATATTATTATTCTACTTTATCTAGAAATATTTCTAAAATATTTTTAAAATATTTCTTATTACTTATATAAGGTATAATAAAATTCTTAGTATTTAAAGCTTAAGTAGACTATAAGTAGTTATTACCTATTACTATAGGGTTTTATTAGGTGATATTAAAGATTCTAGCCTTAGATTAAAAATAAATCCTATATAATATAAATACTATTAAGATTTACTACTAAGTATCCTACTAATAGACTAAGTAGTTTCTCTCTATCCTTTATATTATTAATAAGTATATATACTATTTTACTTAGAAAGTACTCTTACTTATTTATATAGGTTAAGGGAAATAAATTAAAATATAATCTCTTAAAATTATATAACTTATAAGTAATATATCTTAAACTTATACTATAATACTAGAATTTCTAGTTAAGTAAACTTAGCGATATAATAGAATAATAAGTTTAATATTATACTAAAAAACTAATATCTAATTTTTATCTTAGAATAAAAGTAGTAGAGATTATTAAATAATAAGAATAAAGGTTAACCCTATTAATCTTTAAGCTATTTAAGAACTTAAAAACTATTAATAAGTAATTAGAGAAGCTTACTATTTAATAATAATAGTAACTTTAGCTTCCCTAATAGTAAAGATAATAAGATATCTTTATAGACTAGTAGTATTTTATTATCTAAAGTACTAATAACTACTCCTTAAAGCTATTTAAACTAAAGCTTACTATACTTTTAAAATAGTTAACTTCTTCGCTAAGCTATTTAAATATAAATATAAATTAGCACTTTATCCCTTACTAATAAGGAATAAAAACTTTATATAAAGTAGTTAAAAAGGGAAATAGAGAGTAGAGAAAGAGATAAATAGCAGAAAGAGTATAAATTTTAAACTAAAATTAAATAATAAAATTATAAAATAGAGGAGAAACTAAAAATAAAAAGGGAACTTATAAAGTTTAAGATAAAATTAAAGTTAGAATAAGTAAATAAGTAATAAAAATATATTACTTATATATTAT